AAAAATGTTAAAATCCCTACATTTCTAATAATGGGATTAACTAAGGGTACATCATATAAATGAGATCTAATCATGTCATGGATGAGTGTTTTCAGTGTATTTGACATAGATGCCATGTTGTTTCTTGTAAAATGTGCATGTATGCATAGAAAACAATCTGTAAATGCATAAAGTATAATGTTAATCATTAAAAAAAAAAATTCAAAACTTTAAAAAAAAAATGAAGTCCCAGGCAGGCCAAGCATCAGGGATGCCTCAGTTGCCCAAGCTTCTGCATCTAGGGTTCCTGCTGGGGCTTTCCCCTTGGAGCCAGCTGTGAACATCTGTCAAGATTCATTGTCACTCTTCCATGTTGAAATATGGAAGGATCTGGTGGCAATCATGCCAAGTAGCTTGGTAGTTCTGAAATACGGACTCTGGGAGGCTGATCATGGCTTGGGGCTTCTCTGAATAGGATGGTGTGTAGGGTCTCCAGTTTAGGAGATCTGTGGTACTAAAAGATTGGTAATACAGGATAGAGCACCTGGGCTGGACAATGTTGTCCCATTGATCTGTGGTAGCCCCTGCATTTCCTGGAATGGCATCTTGAGGGTCACAGTCAAAGGGGATGGTTCTTGGGATGAACAATGGCATTGCCTCATGGGCTGTGGACTTGGCCTCCAGGCCAGAGGAGAGCTTAAGGTGCTGTCCAGACTGGGAGGCTGCTGAAAAGATTGAGGGGGACTCACTGAATGCAGCAGGGTGTCTGGGAGATGCAGTATTGGTTGCCTCGATGGTGACAGCATGCTAGGAGCGTTTGGGGGGCAGCACAGCTGGCTCATCCTCTGGGTCCTCTTGCAAAACAAGCTTGATCAGCTCATGGTCTTTGGGATTCTTTACCTGGGCCACAAAAATTGCTTTGCCCGTACAACCAGAGATAAGAAAAATTGTGCTCTATATGTGTGATATGAATTTTAATGCATTCTGTTGTCATATATAACAAATTAAAATTAAAAAAAGAAAATGTAGTATATATATACATAATGGAATATTACTCAGCATTAAAAGAGAATAAAATCATGGCATTTGCAGGTTAAAAAAAAAAAAAAAGCTGCTTTGTCCCTTTTTGTTAGCACATCAGACCCAAGGAGGCAGGCTTTGGGCTATCTGAAGCCAGGATACAGTGGAACAGATTTGGGTATCTGGGGATCCCTATTACAACCTGATAGACGGCCCTAACATCTTCAGAGGGCCATTCCAATTTGCACAGTGTGTGCAACTTTCCTGGAGACATTTGATCCCATAGTCTCCTGAGAATCCCTTCTTGAAATTTTTAAGTCTAAGGTTTCAAGGAACTTACACTCATGGTAGTCAGGTAGTACTCTCTATTTCCCACCCTATGTGTTCCCCTCTTTGAATTGGTGATACAAAGACAAACAAGGGAGGGTGCCCCTTCAAGAGAAGAGACCAACCAGATGTCTGCCTGGCTGCCTTCAAAAAGAACTTAGGTGCCTCTTAGCATCAATGGTGGGGTCAGCCTCATGACTCTGGATCCGGTTGCCCAGATGCCACCTTAAGCAAAATGAGGGCCAGCGTGGAATTGCAGAACAGACCCATTCAGACTCTGTAGCTTTCTGTCATGGAGCAACAAACTCAAATCTGAGATGCCAGCAAATCAGATCGCTCATCCACACGAACATTCACACATCAAAATTTATTGCATTTCCTCCCCACTTTGGGAGGTCCCTGACCTGTAGAGTTTCTTTTGGGGACTGATCAAGCTCCCCTTCTGCCCAGTGGGATGGGACCTGACTGGGGACTGACTTTTCCAGGGTCTTACTGGGTCCGGATGAGTTGCCAGGTGAGTTGGTAGATTTCTTCTTGGAGTTGCCGTTGGAGTCTGGTTGGCAAGGCTGCCTCCAGCCTGGGTTGGAACTCCAGGGTGAAGGAGGAACTAGAATACTTATGGGTGGTGCACCACCTTATGAGTCCCTTCCTACTCAGTGCAGTCCAGCCACTGGCTGTTGGCTCGAAGAATCAGAATGGTTGGAATCTTGCTGGTGCCTCCAGAAATGTGGAAAAATAGACTTACAAGAAACCAAGTGACACTTGAAGTAGGAGAACTTGGGTTTATTTATGCTAGCGGACACAGATGAGCTCACACTTGAAAATTCTGGGACCCAAACAGTGGGGTTACAGCGCAGTGCAGGAGATCAGGTTACAAGGAGATAAGGCAGTGAAGGAGATCAGGTTACAAAGTGGTACTGGCTTCTAATAGGTAGGTATGCAAGTAGGGGTTGTTCAAGCCAGAACAGCAGCTAGGATAGGGCAGGAAGCTTGTGGTGGGGAGCCTGGTTTCAGAAGCCAAAATGACCACTATATCGGTGTGAGGACTTCCACTTCTCTTCTCCTGTGGCCCATTGGATCTGTTTTGGGTAATTTTCCTGTTCACTAGAATTGCAAGATCTTTAAACTAATATACACACACACACACACACACACACACACACATATATATATATATATATATATATATTTTTTTTTTTTTTTTTTTTCCAGCGCTGGGGATTGAACCCAGGGCTTTGTGTATGTGAGGCAAGCACTCTAGCAACTAAGCTATATCCTCATCCCTAAACGGTATTTTTGATGGGATGGTCATCCCTGGATAAGCTTCCAGAAGAGATGGAAAACTACTTAAGGCTGTTGAACCCCTAAGGATACATTTTGGGAATAACAAGTAGAGCTTTACAGTTCCCTTCCATGTGACAACTTCTAAAATAAGGACATCGAGCTGATCTCCATCGAGCTGATCTCCTCAGCTCAGACATATGACACAGGGGACATACAGTGGCCTTGGGCTCAGCAAGAGATGAATACAATGTGACTGTCCAGAACACAGGGTGGTCCAGATCTATAAAACTGACTGGATATTGCAGCACCCTTAACTCCCACAATTAACAAAACCACCCCCACCACACAGACGTGTGAAACAACTTCTGAGGCAATAAAATGTACAAAGTGAGGATCACTGCCATCGTTTACAGAATTGTCCTGTTTCCCTTTCTTACCTATAATCACCTCTCTGCCACTAAAATAGTGAAAATTGTATTCAGCACAAGGACATTTATGGAGGAATCGATCAAGTGCCTTGGATCACTGTCTACTTGATTCGTAGCTGAGGAGGAAAAAAAAATGAGAAGAAAATACTCACGCAAATCTATGCCTGGAAACCTGAAAGCCTGAAGGTGCTGCCGGGCTCGGTTCCCAGTACCAGCATCAGCCACTGTCATCTATGCCTTTTGCATCCGGGTTCCCGCCCGAGCGCATGCCCGAAGTTAACGGCTGCGCGGCCGATGTGCGTGCGCATGCGTCCTCCGCCAGGGGAAACTTTTACTTGCGGGACCTACAGACCAGCACTAGAAGGCGGGTTAGTTACTAATCACAGGCAGAGGCTTCCGGCAGAGAGTAGCCGTGATTGGTGGATCCTGGGAGAGGGGCGGGTCACCGGGCAATTCGAATGGGAGAGGCGGGCCAGAAGGAAGGAGTGGAATGGTTGCTGGGTCCTCCTCGCGGCTGAGGCGACGCGAGATGGCGGCGGCTACCTCAGGTATACAGACCCGACAAGGTCTGGATCTTTATGGGGTAATGCGTCAAAGTCTGGCTTGGGCTCCCTGGATTGTGCCAGGGAGAGTCCTTGATGGCGCAGGGACCGGGAGAGAGAGAAAGCGGGAGTGGGGGTTGCGAGCGTCAGACCCTGGTCCTCTCTGCTTCCTGCTTACCGCTCGGGTCAATAGACTCAGGTTGAGACCCGACCTAGACCTAACTGCTTGGTTTGAGCCTGGCGCATTTTTGCTTTTTGAGCTTCAACTTCTTTGTCTGAAAAATAGGAACAACGACCCCATCCTTGGGGGTTACTTGAGTAATCAAGGGAAAAGTGGCTAATGCTCTGATCGTAAGGACAAGAAGGAAGGGGTTGGTCGTCTGAGAACGTTTCTGTGCAGGACATGGTGTTTGGGTGCAGAGAGATCCCTGGAGATGCAGGCGAGCTGGTTGAGGTTCGCACCAGGCTGCAGCTAGTTGTGAGTTAACAGCACAAAATGAGCCGAGATCACAGAAAAGGGAATTAAAAGACTGTTTCCTTTCCCTCTAATCGTGGAAGTGAATGCTGTTTTTGTTTTGTTTTTTGGGGAGGGGACCGGGGATTGAACTCAGAGGTACTTGACTGCTGAGCCACATGCTATCCCTATTTTGTATTTATTTAGAGACAGAGTCTCACTGAGCTGTTCAGCCCCTCACTTTTGTTGAGGCTGGCTTTGATCTCGCGATCCTCCTGTCGCAGCCTCCCAAACTCCTGGGATTACAGGCGTGCACCACCGCGCCCAGTGTGAATGCTGTTTTCGGGTTGAAAGACTGTTAGGATATTTAGAAACGTGTATACAAGTATTTGTTTACATGTTCCTCTCCTCTCTTCTGATCCGTGATTATGGTGGATACTAGAGCAAATTATCTGAGCTTCTTACAGTTTGTCAGGGAAACAAAGGCATTTAGGAGAGTGTCTAATACAGGTTGAGCTCTTGCTGTGCTCCAGGCACAGTTGTAAGCATGTTATGGTGATGAACCATTTAATGCTCACACAGTGTTACTGTTTTTGTCCTTGTTTCTGACATGAGGAAACTGCAGCATAAGTTGACTTGCTCAGAGTTAACAAAACTAGTAAATGTGGGTGGGATCTGAATTCACACTCAGGCAATTTGATTCTAGAGTCTCTGCCTCTAACCATTATGCCCAACCACCTGCTATTCCTGTCTGGGCAATACTTCCCTTCACCCTTCTTAAACCTATTGTGTCTGATACTTAATAGATATTAAAATACTTGAATTGCTTTTTCCCTAGAGAGCTTTCAGTCTGTTTCAGTAGGAACATGAACAGATGTACTATGAGAGATATGTATAGACTGCTACAGATAGTGTGGAGTCTGTAATAAACCCTTGGGTATTCTGTTCTGGGAGGGCTTCATTAAAGAGTTTAGTTTTGGGGAGGAGGGCAGTACTGGGGATAGAATCCAGGGCCTTAAACATGCTAAGTAAGTGCTCTACCACTGAGCTACATTTACAGCCTTTTTGGTTTTTTTGGTTTTATTTTTTAATTTGTTTTTGAGGCAGGGTCTAAGCTGCCCAGGCTGGCTTCAAACTTGTAATCCTTCTGCCTCAGCCTCCTAAATATAAGGAATTACAGGTGCCCCACTAAAGATGTGATGTGATATTTGAAGTGAGTTTCAAAGGTTGAATAGTAGTTTGCTAAGTATTTATAAGAAAAAAGCACCAAGTGTTATTTGTAATGTAAAGAAGGCCAAAGACATTCTTTTGGCTCAGTCTCCTCATGCATAAAGGAGAGAAGAGTTAAGTTGATGAAACTTGGGAATTGTAGGAGAGGAGAAAATTAAACGAAGTACTAGCATCAGCCAATCTCAGAGTTGTTTTTATGATGAGAGAGAGAGAGATTCTTGTACTGTAAGCAGTTCTTAACATGTGCCTCTCCTTCACCCCTAGATTGTGAGCTCTGGGGCAAGGATAACAGTGAGACATTTTAATGATGAAAATATGAAATGAACAAGCCAGATCATCAAATCTTAATTTCTTCAGCAAGTACTCCTGAGAACCTATTCTGTGCCAGGCATCGGGAATAGAAAGGAGGGCAGGGGAAAACCCGACGGCTACATAGCAAAGAATTTTCTAGCCCATAATGTCAATGATGAGAGACCGTGGTCTAGAGAGAGGATAAATATTTAAGAATGGCCAAGGAGTGAACTAAGAGGTAGTAAGAAAACCAGAGGAGTGGATGGCATGGTAAGAGAATAGTGTGTCTCCCAAGAATGTTGAATACTGCTGGGCAGTCAGATCGGATTGGGACTGAAGGTGTCTATTGTATCTTGTGGTAGAGAGGTTATTGGTGACACTGCTGAATAATAAGGGCAGAAGCAAGTTGCAGGGGTTGAAGTGTGAGTAGCAAGAACATATAATAATCATAATAATGACAGCTAACTTTTATTGAGTACTTGACTGCTAGTCACTTTGCTAAACATGTACATTTTTACTTTGAATCAATCTTATGTGGATAGTTACTGTTATTATTTTTATAAAGAGAAACTGAACTTTGGGGTGGTTAAGTAACCTTTCCAAGATGACACAGCTAATAGGTAGAACTTGCCTCTGACTCAAAGTCCCACAGGAATACAAAGATGGAAGGGACTGAGGAGGGATTCACATATAGACGTTGAAGTTAGACTTTCATTTGAAGCTGTTACTTGCTAGCTGTTGAACATGGGCAAATATATTAACCTCTCTATTCTGAGGTTTCCTTATTTGGAAAATGGGAATGGGGGATGAATATAAAATAAGACAACTGAGCTTTTTTAAAAAAAATATTATTATTTTAGTTATAGATTGACACAACTTATTTATTTATTTATTTATTTATTTATTTTTATATGGTGCTGAGGATCAAACCCAGTGCCTCAAATGTGGGAGGCAAGCACTCTGCCACTGAACTATATAGCCCCAGCCTCAAAAACTGAGGTTTTTTTTTTTTTTTTTTTTTTTTAAATCAAGTACCAGATGTTGTTTTAAGCACTTTCATGAATTACTTTCTCCCCTAACAACCCATGAATAGGTATTTTTAATTTATTCTCATTATATGATTAAGGAAATTGAGGCACAGAAATGGAAAATTGTCTCCCTAGGTTATTCAATTTGTTGAACCCAGGCCATTGTACCTTGAATAATGAATCTCCAGACTATATGCTAATCACTGTACTGGCATTTTGCAGTTATTCCTTTAAATCCTCATAAAATCCTTACACTCCCCTCCTCTGTTTTCTTGTTAGTTTTCTTAATGTTATTGGTGATTGAGCCCAGGAGTACTCTACCACTGAGCTATATCCCCAGCTGTTTTTATTTTGAGACAGAGTCTCACCAAGTTTCACCAGGCTATCCTCAAATTTGTGATCTTCTTGTCTCAGTCTTCTGAGTAGCTGGGATTATAGGCATATGCCACTGCGCCTGACCAGAACTGGAATTTAAACACAGCTGTCTGACCAAAATCTATACTCTTCCTCATTGTAGACTTGACTTCCTCTTATATGGATCACTGAGCTTCCCTAAGTGTATCTTTTCTTTCTCTGTTCTCTCAAAAAATCACACAGGAGGCTATTGCACATATTTTTGACAAGACAGTAAAGCTCTTTGCACCTCAATTTTGTATCTGCACACATGCAATTGAAGGTTTTTACCTGTTGCCTCTCGACTTTCAGGATTGCCAGAAGGAACAAACGAGGACTAGATAGCCAAGTGCTTTGTGAACCATGCAGTGGAAACGGAGTTACTGACCCCATTTGTCAGATGAAGAAACAGAAGGCTAGTTTTTCAAACAGGCCATCTACTTATGGGCATGTCTTACTTATGTATAAAATTTTTCCAGGGGTAATGATGACTGCATGCACCAACCATTCTTTTGCCCTCTTAGGGGCCTCTGGCTCTGGGCAACCAGCTGCTACCACCAGGAAGGAAGAGAAATTCAGAATTGACAAGAGCTTTCCATGGTAGTACATAAAAAGGAGGCAATATGGCATCCTTGTTAAAAACAGAATTTTGGTAGTGAAGAGATCTAGGTTTGAATTCTGCTACTAGCTATCAGCTTTACTATTCTATCCTCCAACATAAAATAGAGTAATACCCTCTTCAGATTTGTCACTGTGTTTTCTAATGATAAAAATAATTCATAATTGCTATTTTTTTCCTCAAATAACTTAGATTTAATCATCAGAAGCAAGTGATGAAAAGCTTATGAGAGAGAAGAATTATATATCAGTACCTTTTTCAGACTAAACTAGGAAAGAAGGGGACTAGGGGCTGCTCTTCAACCTGACTCCTTCCAAAGAAAGACATCCACAATGTTTTTTTTTTTTTTTTTTTTTTTAATGTCAGTGATACAGCATTACAGAAGTACCATTAAAAACAAAACAAAACAAAACAAAAAAAACAACCCACATAATCATCCACCAGGAGAAAACCTCTATTAATAGTTTAGGGAGACATGTAAGTATATTATAACCTCAGATAAGAAATAGAGACCCAGATGGGTGCAGTGTCACACGCCTGTAATCCTAGCAGCTGGAGAGGTTAAGGCAGGAGGATTCCAAGTTCAAGGCCAGCCTCAGCAACTTACTGAGACCTGTCTCAAAAGATAAAAAGGGCTGGGGATATAACTCAACGATAATGTACCTCTGAGTAAATCCTCAATACCATAAAAAAAAAAATTACAGAGAACTTAAAACTGTTTTTAGGTGGGCTCAGATGTCAAATTTGTTTGTTTCTTTTTCTTTTTTTTTTTTTTTTCCCCATTACTGGAGGTACTGAGCTATATCCCCAGCCTGGATATTAAGTGTTTTATTCTTTAGAACAACCCTGTGAAGTACTAGTCTACTACACCTTGACAATTCAACATTAGCCCCAACAGCAAGAATGCCTAGGAATTTCTTAAGAAATGTAAAATCTCAGGTTTGATCCCCAGCACCTCAGAAAAAAAGAAAAAGAAATGCAAAATCTCAGGCCTCACCTTATGGACTGAAGCCAAATTTGAATTTTAACAAGGAAATATGGGTTATTTATATACACAGTATAGTTTGAGAAGCCTCTGCACCTCAGTGAACTTGTAGAGAGGGCAGGAACTGGGTCTGAGTTTGTGGGGGTGGGGGGCATCCACAGCACAACCAAGCATGGAAAGAGTTTTCCTCTAAGTGAGCTGTGGTCCCCAGCAAAGTTGGTCTCTGTTTCCTCTGTGTTACCACCATACTTTATGCTTATACCTTCTCTTCTCCAGGAGCTGGTCGCCATCGGCTAAGCAAGATGGGGTCTGGCCGGCGCCCACCTCCAGCTCGAGTAAGGGTGGCTGTGCGGCTGCGGCCATTTGTGGATGGAACATCTGGAACAAGTGAATCCCCCTGTGTGCGAGGCATAGATAGCTGCTCTCTTGAGGTTGCCAACTGGAGAAACTACCAAGAGACTCTAAAATACCAGTAAGGTTCAGACTACTCCTCCTTCCTCTCCTAGGCCTGATCATATCACTTTCCTAGTCAGTTTCTTAGATCTGTCTCCCCAGGATCCTGCTCCCTCCTCAGCACAGCTTTGTTCTCTAAATCTTCATTTGTTTATTCAGGAAATGTTCATGGATGCACATGCTAACAGGGAAAGACTCTGGGGGAAAGACTGGAGGGTGAATCTGACATATATTACTATTCATTCTTATAGGGGAAACTGGAACAAATGGAGGAAGAAATAGCAAAGGGGAGCAGGGGATCCTTGAGTAGGGTTTGGGGGATAAGAGGATATGAGAATATAGGCCAACCAAGGTATAGCTGGGCAGTGTCAGAGAGGATCACGCAGATTTGGGAAATGGAACTCATAAAGGCAATTACTTGAAAATTCCATTGGGGATTCTAAGTTCAAACTCCTTGGCCTGTAGGGGTGGTAAGCCTACAGGTCAAATCTGACAAGGAGTCTTTATGTAAAGTTTTATCACCTATTTACATATTGTCCTAGCTGCTTTGGACAACAGTCACAGAGTTAAGTGGTTGTGAAAGGAACCACATGGCCCATGAAGTCTAAAATATTTATTGTCTGGCTCTTTATACAAGTTTGCTGTCTCCTATTCTAGGCCCTTAATAATTTGGCTTAAGTTTCTTTGCAGGCATATCCTGTCAATATGTACTAAACGTAAGTAGTCTAAGCCATAGCCTCTCTGCCAGGGCAAGTAAATGAGCTGCAGGTGTGTTCAGTCAAATCCTAAACAGCATCCTCTTAAGTACCCCTACAAATACTATTCTAGATGTGCTGCCATATGAAACAGATGGGAAGCTGAGCCCTTTCACATCCTGTCTTGTCTATGTGCTACTCTTTATTCTTAAATTTATTTATTTATTTTTGTACCAGGGTTTAGACCCAAGAGTGTTCAACCACTGAGCCATATCCCCATCCCTTTTAATTTTTTTTTTTTTTTTTTTTGGTGGTAGTGGTGCTGGGGATTGAACTCAGAATCTCATACATGCTAAGTTACTTCTGAGCTACATACCCAGCTCCAATTTTTTAAAATTTTGAGACAGGGTCTTACCAGATTGCTTACAGCCCTGTTAAGTTGCAGAGGCTGACTTTGAAACTGTGGTCTCCTGCCTTAGCTTCCCAATCTGCTGGGATTACAAGCCTGTGCCACTATGCCCGGCAAATTTCTTTCTCTTCCGGCAAAATCTTCCTTCAGTAGAATTAATTAACTCCCAGTATGATCTTTGTTTTCTGTTTCATAGCAAAGTATGGGTATTTGTCTATCCCACTAGATTGCAAAATCCCAAGAGTAGCAACATCAGATTTATTTCAGTTTTTCTAACACCAATACAAAGACTGGGAAAAAGGAGCTCTTCCGTGGATGCTTTTAAGGTCTTTGAGCTAAAAAAAAAAAAGGGACAGAGATTTTCTTTTTAATCTAAAATCAGTATGCTCTGGTTCTGGGTGTTATCAGAACACCCTGTTAAAACTCCTTTCTTCCTGCCTACAGATTTGATGCCTTCTATGGGGAGAAGAGCTCTCAGCAGGACATCTATGCAGGCTCAGTGCAGCCCATCCTGAGGCACTTGCTAGAAGGACAGAATGCCAGTGTGCTTGCCTATGGACCTACTGGGGCAGGTGAGGGAGCAAGAGGGGAACAGCTATGGGTCAGAAAGAGCTAAGGAAACAGGGAAACCTCATAGCTTCCTCCACTCTTTCCCCAGGGAAGACTCACACAATGCTGGGTAGCCCAGAGCTACCTGGAGTGATTCCCCGGGCTCTCGTGGACCTCCTACAGATGACAAGGGAGGAAGGTGCTGAGGGCCGGCCATGGGCCCTCTCTGTTACTATGTCCTACTTAGAGATCTACCAGGAAAAGGTGAGGCTTGTTGCTGGTTGGGGAGGGAAGAAACAAAGAGCCAAGACAGGGTTCTAGAATGTGAAGCTCTACTCTGCTCAGAGTAGCAGATTGCATAACTTTGAGAATCCAACAGAGAAAAGGAAACTGGTCCCCAGGAAATAAGCAGCCTATGCATGGAGAATTGGCCCTACCCATTACTCCTCAGGTATTAGACCTCTTGGACCCTGCATCAGGAGACCTGGTGATCCGAGAAGACTGTAGAGGAAACATCCTGATTCCAGGCCTCACACAGAAACCCATCACTAGCTTTGCTGATTTTGAGCAGCACTTCCTGCCAGCCAGTAGAAATCGGACTGTAGGAGCCACTCGTCTCAACCAGCGTTCTTCCCGCAGTCATGCGGTGCTCCTGGTTAAGGTGAGAGCCATTGACAAAGGGGAGGCCCTGGGAAGCTCTGGAAGCCTGAGCTAAGCTTACTGCCCTTACTCTTCCCCTTCAGGTGGATCAGAGGGAACGTTTGGCCCCATTTCGGCAGCGGGAGGGAAAACTCTATCTGATTGATTTGGCTGGCTCAGAAGACAACCGGCGCACAGGCAACCAGGGTCTACGGCTCAAAGAGAGTGGAGCCATCAACACCTCCCTGTTTGTACTGGGCAAGGTGGTGGATGCACTGAACCAGGGCCTCCCTCGTGTACCCTACCGGGACAGCAAGCTTACTCGCCTGTTGCAGGTCAGGCCCAGAAGGGTCCAGGAAAGGAGGTTCTTAGGCCTGCTGGGGTTTGGGGGAATAGTAGTAAAGGAATGGGAAGGCTAAGATTCTGACCCATCTACTCTAATCCCCATCTGTCAGGACTCTCTGGGTGGCTCTGCCCACAGCATACTCATTGCCAACATTGCCCCTGAGAGACGCTTCTACCTAGATACAGTCTCTGCACTCAACTTTGCTGCTAGGTCCAAGGAGGTCATCAACCGGCCTTTTACTAATGAGAGCCTACAGCTTCATGGTGAGGATTAGGGGATGCAAGAGTGGAAAGGCAGGTCTGGACAGTTGGGGAAGTTTGCTGAAGCCATGCTTCACCCCTCTTATACCTTGCCCCAATCTTTTAGTCTTGGCACCTGTTAAGCCATCTCAGAAAGAACTGCTAGGCCCATCAGAGGTGAAGCAAGCCCAAGGTTCTGAGGAAGAGGAGATTAGAAGCCCTGAGCCCACAGTAGCTCCAGTCTCTGCCTCCCAGAAACTCAGGTGAGAAGTGATGCCCTTGGATGTACCCCCATTCCTGCTGGGTCTCAGCTGCAGAATAGCAGTGGGTTTTTCTTGTCAGATCCTTAAGCAAAGATAGCTGTGAACTTGTTCCTCTTCCAGTGAATTCACACAAAATCATACTCTGTTGAAATACTGAAGTGCTCAGATCAGTCTATTCTTGGTGCCACTGCCTTGGGAACTATGGAAGCCTCTTTCTTGGGCTTATGGCCCCTTCCCTTTCCATTTTCCAGTCCCTTTACATGACTTCAGCAAAACTTCAAATTTGGGGGCAACTGTTTGAAGGATGAGCAGTTTTACTTTTTGTTCAAGAATAATCAATGAAATTTTTCAGGTTCAGAGAATGAGAGCAAAGCAAAGACGATAAGATGAAGACAGATGCCTCACTGAGACTTCTCAGTCTCTGTGTTAGGGGCAAGCCTCTCCAGGACTCTCTGAGGAACTAGTTGCTATCTACCCTCCCCATTTCTGATTGTCCTATCTCATGCCCAATATATACCAATTCTGAGATCACTTCTGTTCAGTGGCCTTGGATTCTGACACTTAACCTTCCCTGATCCCAAGGAGCCACTTTGCCTCATTTTGACCCCTAGCCCAAATAGAGCCTCTCTATGTAAGTGCTAAGACTACTGAACAGAGGTGACCTAAGAATGTCAAGGTTCACTGCACACCCCAGGGAGCAGTTATAGTTGAGAAGGATGCTACACACAAAAGGTGCTTGCTTATTCACAGTCCCATCTCTCAATCTTGACTTTCTCAAGCCATATGTTAGCATTTCCCTCCCCTATGTGCATAGACTTAGAGAAACTTATACAAGTGTATTATATGAACAGGAAGGTTGTCTCCCAAATAGATACTCTGGTAAGGGGAGGCTCAGAGATGCAGCACATCATAGTCAGACCTGAGGTCTCACTTTTCAAAAGGGGTAAGAAAGATGGGAATGTTAGCTTATGATGCCAGGTATGTAGTGCAGAGTGTAAGCTGCTTGGAAGAAATAGAGTTTGCCCCCATGTATTGTGATCCTGGTCTTCTAAGGCATTTGCACATTAAGAACAGGATATAGTCTCTGTCCTTGATGAGCCAGTTCTTAGTGTAGTAAAGAAAATGAACAATCAATCTGAACATCATAGGAAAGGCAGCATCAGACTAACTTTGAAAGATAACTCAGGTCAGAAGTGAGAGATGAGGAGTGATATTCCAGGCAGAAATGAGTGATAGACATCTCTGTGCTCAGCCAGGACTGAAGATAGGCCTTTTCTGCTTCCCACATGATAAAGGCTTGGCATTTGAGGTTTTTAGGGGCTCTTATAGCCCTGCTAAAGATAAAGATGACTTCCGCCTGAGCCCTTGCTGTCACCTATTATGATCTCTTTACTTATTAGACAGTGTCTCCAGGGCAGGGCACTGTCATAGATCTCTAATACCTGGCACTCAAGTGTTCATTAAATGATTGTTCTTAACTGACATCTCTTCGAGGTTACTTTGCCTAATGAAAACATTATAGTCAGGCTGGATGACTTGTTCAGGATTGTCTAGCAACTAAACATCAGGGTTCTGGAATCACAGATACACCAAATTAAGCAACAGGAAGAATCTTGTTGCTGGAAAAAGTGATGAGAAAGGCAGGAGAATGGGGAATAACTTCTTTGACTGCTCAGCCCCCTGCAGAAGCTAAGCAGCTTGGATCCAGCCATGCTGGAACGCCTCCTGAGCCTGGACCGCCTGCTGGGTTCCCAGGGGACCCAAGGGACCCCTCTGCTGAATACCCCAAAGCGGGAGCGGATGGTGCTCATTAAGACAGTGGAGGAGAAGGACTTGGAGATTGAGGTAAGTGTTAGAGGTGGGCTAGGGTTTGTTGTTTTTTTTAATGTGTGTGATAATAATGTGTGTGTGTGTGTTTTAATAATTATTTTCTAAGCCTTTATTTTTATGTGGTGCCTCACACATGCTAGGCAAGCATTCTACCACTGAGCCACAACCCTAGCCCTGGGCTAGGGTTTTTAACGGCCTTGAGAAGTGTTCCCAGGATCTCCAGACAGGGCAGGACACTCAGGCTAGACTAGAGTCCAGTTTTCACTCTCAACTGAAAGTTCTTAAACTTCTGCTTGAATATCCTTAATATGATTGAACTTTGAAAAAAACAACTTTGATGAGATGTGAGGAGGTAAGAGGAAAATATTCCAAATAGATTTTACATTGTATTTCCTAATTGTATTTTACATTGTATTTCCACATTAAGTGAGGACCCTATTTGAACAGTCTTCCCTTCAGTATTTACAGTCTTGTTCCACCTCTGGATCATTTGAAAGCCATTAATTATTTTAGGCCCAGTTGTCTCCTGGAAGCTTCTTCTTTTCAATTTCTGCCTCCTCTTCCTAATCTGCTGCTCTGGGGTGGGGTCTGGTTCATATCTTTTCCTGAACCTTTCCGATAGAGGCTTAAGATGAAGCAAAAAGAACTGGAGGCCAAGGTGCTGGCTCAGGAGGCCTCAGACGCAAAGGAGAAGGAGAACTGCTCTCTCACAATGCTCCGACCCCTTCCCCGTCGCACAGTCACAACAGCAAAACCCCTGAAAAAGGCTGTGGTGATGCCCCTACAACTCAGTAAGTTGGATCTAGGGGCCAGATAACTGCAATCCCATAAGGAAGGAGTAGCCCCATAAGGAAGGAGTAGCCACCATGTCATTCATGTCTTTCTAGCATATACTGGCCTCAGGGAGGGCTGGGGAGGATCTGAAGCAGTGCTGGGTGCTTTGCCTTCAGGTGTTTAGTACATTGGGTTGAGTAGTGTGATAATATAAGACTGAGGTTACTTTCCAATACAGAAATAAGGTCATGTGGTAACCCAACAAATGGTTAACCAGGGTGGAAGGGAACTGGGCAATCAGATGGGAGAACCTGGTGGCTTCCAGCAGAGGGGGGAAGTGGCCTCTACCCTGATTCCAATTCACAATTCCTGTTTTCAGTTCAGGAACAGGCAGCATCCCCAAGTGCTGAGATCCATATCCTAAAGAAGAAAGGCCAGAAGAGAAAGGTGAGACTAGCTGGAGGTTTAGGATGCACATCAAATCTAACAGAGGTAAAGGGGAGTGAGCTGTAGGGGGCAGAGCACTGGCCTTGAAATTATACATCCTGGCTGATACCTTCCAGCTTGTTTACCCTGTGTGTGATGAAGGCAGTTAAGGGTGAAATGCAACAATGTTGATGTCCCTATCATATTGGTTGACAGGTGGCAGGTTTTTTTCCTTCTGAATGGTTCCCTCATTCAGCTGCTGATTATGTGTAGCCTCACTCCTGCCCTCTACATACTTAAGAGCCCACTTACATGAATATGACCTAAGGTCGCAAGAAACTCAAACACACACAAGCTCCTGTGCCCAAAATGAAACACCACTAGAACTACCCACAAACAGGACTATGAGGAGGTGTTTATTATGGCTTTCTCCCATGCACTCTTCCAGCAGTAAAGGAAAGATCATTCTTGCTTTGTGCTTTACATTCACTAATTTCATTGGATCACCAGAATTCTGAGAAAGGTGCTGGTATCACCATTCTTAAAAATTGACTAAAATAAGAAGTAGATTAGGGAAGGATTTTTGGTCAGACACTTGACTGAGAGAAGAGGCTGGAGAGGGCGGGGAGGTAGCTGCTGCTAGGCTCCTAGTCTTGGCAGAGTCCAAAGCACTTTGCTGCTGTTTCTGTCACTCACCTCCCCTTGCCTCATAGCTGGAGTCCTTGGATGCCTCAGAGCCCCAGGAGAAGGCTGAGGACTGCTGGGAGCTACAGATCAGCCCAGAGCTGCTGGCCCGTGGGCGCCAAAAAATACTTGATCTGCTGAACGAAGGCTCAGCTCGGGATCTGCGCAGCCTGCAGCGCATTGGCCAGAAGAAGGCCCAGCTCATCGTGGGCTGGAGGGAGCTCCATGGCCCCTTTACTCAGGTAACCACCCCCGGTGGGCAGCCTGGTTGGGGGTGGGGCAAGGTGGGCGGTGGCCCCCAGGCCTCTTTCGCCATCGCTATTGCCCTGCCAGGTGGAGGACCTGGAACGCGTGGAGGGCATCTCCGGGAAACAGATGGAGTCGTTCCTGAAGGTAATCTGGCATGCGTGGACACACACAGACACACACACAGACACACGCGCGCTCTCCCTGGCCTCTGCTCTGCCCCTAGGCGCTAACGTTGCTGTCCCCTTCTTTCCTGTGTTGCAGGCGAACATCCTGGGCCTGGCCGCCGGCCAGCGCTGTGGTCCCTCCTGACAGCCAACTCCTCACGCTGCCTTTTATATATATATATATACATAATTTTAAGTCCTTGTATCACCGCGTGTTGTAAATACAGCTTTTCCTCCCGTGCTTCAGCCTGGTTTTTTGGGGGGAGGGGGGCTGAGGTATAATTGCCCTTGGGGTCGGATGGGAGCTGTGTAGGCAAACTTCTTTGGACGCCATCTTCGGGAAACCACGAACCTGGACGCTGGAATGAGGAGGGGAGTGGACGGTGGCCGAAAAGAAACAAAAAGCTTAAGCGAAAGCCAGAGGATGCCGACCGTTAGGCGGGTGCGCGCCTAAGTTGGCTCCGCCCCATCCGTACCCCGGCGCGCGCTCCCCTGTTCTCCCGCTCAGCAACGACAGTGGTGCTGTGTGCGCGTGCGCGCGAAATAACGGCCGCTGGCGGAGGGAGGTGGGGGGGTGGAATCGTTGAAGGGGGGTAAGAGAAGCCGCCCTGTCTCCCGCGCGCCCACCACCTGCACCATCGTCAGCCAATCAGCAGCCGTCTCAGGGGTCTCGCGCTTGGGGCGACTTGGGCTGCCGGGTGGCTCCCCCGTCCCTCCTCCCGCCAGAGTCCCTCCCGTGCCTCCCCCCTCCCGCTGGCCTCGCGCGCGCTCGCGCTCGCGCCCGCTCCAGCCTCTTGTGTGTCCTCGCGCCCCCCGCCCGCCCTCCCCGCGCGCAGTGTGCTCCGCTCCCCCCACCCTCCTCCCCCCTCCCGCCCGCCCCGCGCGCCTCCTCCCCAGGTTCCCCCTCCCCCACTGCCGCCTCCTCCTCCTCCCGCCCCAGGGTGAGCGCGAGCCACCTCCCTCCCTCCCTTCGCCATG